TATATATATATATATATATATATATATATATGTATTTCATATATATATGTATATATATGAAATAATAAAGGTTTCTCTATAACAGAGTTTCATTAGATAATAATTAAAACTTTGTATGAGAAAAATGTATTAATTAATGTAATATATCTTTTATATGATTAATTAAATTTTAAAAAATTATTATATAAACCATAGCCTCAATGCAATTACGAATACCGCAACAAATTTTGACTTATTAATTTATGGTAAACAACTATATTAAATTACCAAGTTTAGATACACAAATCGATATATCTAAATATAATATTTCTCACGAGTTAATAGTAAGTTTAAAGACCGATTACAAATTTGCGGCAACCGACGTGTTAATATCATGATATAGATATAAATTTAACATTTCTAAATACTTTAGATTGAATTAAGTTTAAGATTAAGTTAGACAATCTAAAACAATACCCGCGTTTGTTCTATCAATAAATGACTGTACTCAAACTTGGATGGCTTACAGGCAAAGCGTTACACACAGTTCAAGTCGTCCCAATGGGAAGAACAATTTCAAGTTATTTTTTGAACATGCTTATACGTCCCTCCAACGTTTTGTCGAAATTTGTCACTTGTCTCAAATGGAAGTCTCGAACGTCCCGAGACAAAACTTCACGTAAAGCGTTTTGCGAGCGGTCTACGTCGCGAAGCGTTATTCCCGAGAAGACAAACAGGATGCCGGAACGACGAGTTTGTAACGGGTTACATAGAGACTAGAGGTCTTCTTGGAAGCCATGGTTTTCCCGCGATTTCTCTTAGTACTACGAAAGCACCAAAACTAATGTTGCACTCTATACTTGAGGGAGAAATACGATCGCGGATGTGAAGCAACGCATTGTACATTAATACTTGGAAGAGCTAATCTACCAATCATAAACATATTACGTCGTACATCGATTTTTGTTTCGAAAAAACATCCATTTGCAAGCTCGCGTATGCTGTCGTTAGAATTCTGGAAAACGGAAAACAAAGTGGATAGAACGAAAGCGGGGAGAAACTCGCGAAATCTGCCGTAGCTTGTGAGCTTCGCAGCATCTTTTTAGACAGTAATGCAGGAACTTGTTACAATTATGAGAAAAGGTAAACTAATACGTAAAAGTTTAATATTAAAAGTCGGACGCAGCTGCAACGCCGACAGGCTGACCTAAAGAAGGTACTCTGGAAGCATCTCGAGTACGGTCGCCGTCATCCCCGGTAACCGCCGGAAGCGGAGTATTGATGTACTTTAAGCATCCCTTGACCCTTACATATCCAAAGCAAAGATACACCGATCCCTTTCGTACGAGCATCTGCACTCCGTTTTATCGGCGATATCGAGTGGATACTCGCTCAAAGGAAATCGTTATGACAGCGGGGGATGAAGGACAGGAGTGAAGGATGGGAGAGGGTAGAAGCTGGCCGACAATATCTTGGGCCCCGTGGCGACTGTAACTGCTCGATATCGGGAGGGAAGCGACCGATACTCCGGGGCACATCACGAGCGTCTTGTAAACGTATCTCGAAACGAGATCTATCCGATACCCTCTTTCGCGCGAGCGTCTGCACTCCGTTTGCATGAAGTTGCACTCGCGAGTGGGTATCGGTTTAAGGACCATCGCTGACAGAGGAACGGAGAAGAGACGAGAGACGAGAGAAGAGACGGAAAGATGCGCCGCACGCGCCGTGCCGCTGCTGCTACCGCCGTCGCCGCCGCCGTCACCTCCGCC